GGAGGGGAGATTTGTGTTTGGGGGGGGGGGGATTTTTCCTTCGTGGGAGAAGGAGCCGAGTAGATTTTCACTTGAGGAATTTTTGCATTTGATATTGTCACTGTGGGGAGAATAATGCTTAGGGGTTTTTTGTTGGGGGATTGTTCAAGTTAATGACAGCGGCTACATTTGAAAGCGGCAGCAATAAGGAAGCTGGGCGACTAGTCATTACACGCCGTCTGGCTTCCTGATTGACTGGGAAGCCGGCTCCATGCTCCCTGGTGAGGAAGGAGCATGGAGCTGGCTTCCCGGCCATTCAGGAAGCCAGGCGGTGTGTATGACTCGCTGCCCGGCTTCCTAATACTGGAAGTTCCAGTATCGGGATAAGTATCAGGAGCATTTGGACGAGTACTCGCCCAAATACTCGGAATCGATACCGGCACTAATATAGGTATCGGTGCATCCCTACCCTGAACCCATCGATAGATGCGTCCAGAGACAGTGATCTATTCCTAAACACATGTACTCCCATCTGGCAGTGAACGAGTTAAACCCTGATCGCATACAGGCTTGAGCTTCTAATGCAGGATGTTGCTATAAAAAGAGATGGCAGGAAAATGTAAAGTACGTTATTGAAGCCTGTAGGGTCCATTTACTCCTGTGCGCTGCGGTAGTGCACTGTAAAACGTGTGTTTTTTACCATGCGTTCCTGCAAGCGCACAGCAACGCATGTACCACACTTAGGGCTTCCACCTTTTCTTCAAGGAAAACCCAAACACTCCAGTGACATGCAGACATTTTTTGGGGAGAATGAGTTGCGGCTTATTTATATGTAAATAGCGTCACCCATTCATACGTAACTATCACAGTTGAGACTATTTTCAGTGGGGGGACAGTAGCCCCTATCTTAATTTTGGTTGCCCCTGTCATTTTGTGTCCGGGTTTCTGCTGCGTGAAACCTGGACACAGCAGTCAAAACCCGGACTGTGCAGGGTGAATCCTGGACAGGTGGCAATCCTAACCACACTGCAGTATTTTGCGTAGTTATTCATTTGAAATAGCACCCCATTGCACACAACACGCCACAGTGCACATGAGCTGTAACACACCATTGCGCACACATGTGAGAAATCTGTGCACTGTTGCCCATTGCATTAAGAAAATTGTGGCATGCAGCATCTTTGTTGCGTTGTGGCCGATACAAAATGAATGGGCTTTTTAACGCACATAAACCCATGTGCGTTACTGCAACGCAGAGATGTCCACAGGCCCTAAGGCAGGGGTGGGCAAACTGTGGCCCTCCAGCTGTGGGGGGGGAAAGTACAAATCCCAACATGCATCTGTCTCTGGGAGTCAGGCCTGTGGCTGTGAAAACTTTGCAATGCCTCGTGGGATTTGTAGTTCCACATCAGCTGGAGGGTTGGAGTTTGTTCACCCCTTGGATAATAATATAATGTTTTATTGTTTTCCCCGCTTTTAATCCATAAACTGTGAAAAGAGCGTTTATAAATTGGTGTCACACGATTGTTAGCATTTAAGATGCGCTGTTTGTTTACTATATATGGGAAGCTGACACATGAACTTGAAGCTGGAGACTCACTGGACAAGATAGAGTTAAGCCCTCTTATTATTCAGCTTATCACAAGCTGGCTCAGCAGCTCCGGGCCAATGAGCAGCCTGATCCCGCCTCCTGCTGTCCAGCCAATCATCGCTGTGCACAGGGTCGCTTCCTGCCTCGACAGCTGGTGAAAGTGAATGGGAAGTTTTTGGTGTGTGTTTATTTTCTGAAGTGACAGCTGGATTCCCGATCATTGGGAGGGGGCAGTGCTGGGGGCTCAGCGGTGTCCTTGTAGTCATTGAATCCTGGACTTTCTTACCGATCTCCTCATTCAGGACTCCACCAGACTGAGCAAGGAACTTTCTCCACTCAATGAACTCATTTCCTCCTCTGACTCCACTGGGTTGGTTAGGCCAGCTTGATGACCACAGAGCTTCTTTTTATTGGAAGATCTTCACCCCGGGCTTGTAAGGACCCATGTCTGTTGTAGTATATAACTGATTCCTGATTGGTAGAGAAAGGCAAATTCCCGTTCCTTGATCAGATCTTAAACGATACATTTAAACAGAGCACATGCTGTCACTAAGCTCTGCTTGGTGCTCTTCCTCCTCAAGGACCTGCGGAACTGAATGATATTATAGAGGTGCCCCTCGGCATGACATTGTGCAAAAAGTCATGACTACAATTTTCACAGATCTGAAAGTAATTTGAGCAAACGGTTCCATCTCATTGCCCTGAAAATATTTGTTGGAGGTCCCGAGGTTGCGTCCATGTCCACTTTAAGTACCATCCAAATTAAAGAAGCCAATGCTCACCTGGCAGCATTACACCGGCGGGTGGCTGAGCTTGATGGAACAATAAGGGAGCAGGCAGAAAGCCTTATTCGCAAAGATGAGCATTACCAAGCCGTTTTAAAGGATATCGTGAATACCAAAGACAGGTACGTTACATTTCCATTGGTGGACACAAAGGGGGTGACATTTGTAGAGCACTACTGATTACCTTCCAATGTATGGCTGAAAAATAATAATAATTCCCCCCAGCCCATCTTAACGCACCCTCTTACTTGTTCTTGTTAACCTTGGAAGTCTACACCAAGGGCGGGCAACTCTGGCCGTCCCATGAGGCACTGCAAGACTGACAGTTACAGGCATGACTCCCAGAGGCATGTTGGGATTTGTAGTTAAAGCACAGCTGGAGGGCAGGAGTTGACCACCCCTGGTTTACACTATTGGAACCAGTCACAATAAACAGTGGCAGGTAGTAGGGCCTATGGTAGGGCTGCACAGGGAATGTCCTGATGGCTGGCACAAGAACACTTCCTTATGCATCCTGTGTACTTTGTCATGTAACATTTTGGTTCAGATCACATGATTACCATGAAGCATCCATGGCTACTACTAGCTCTACCGTAGAGGGTATATAGCACACTGGCTCTATGACAACACCTGCTTTCCCAGTGTCATCTCCTATATTGTGAGGCCATAAACTATTCGATTTTTTTTTTACGTTCAGCCTGCAGGTTGAATAAAAATTAAATAAATCAGATTCCGTGGGGCTACTCCTGCACTGCAAGGGTTAACTGCTTGTTTTTCCTCCCGCGGCTGGAATACAGAAGATGTACTCACCTGATCCTTGGTCCTCCCCCCCTCCACTCCGTCATCCTCGCATCTAATGCAGTGGGTAGCCCCACTGCAGGGGTTAACTTTTCACACTCCTGGAGTTTCCCTTTATTCCACGCAAAACAGCGTGGATGGACAAATGTACCACTAAGGCTATTGAATTCTGACAGCCAGCACCCATCACAGTCGGAATACAAGAACAGTGACTACAGCTGATTGGCTGCAGTTATTGTTCAGTTAAAACATTTCAGCTTGTCTCTTCTGACAAAACTCAATTCAGTAACTGAATTTTGTCGAGCTCCTGTTGTGAGCAATAAAGTTAACTGAAAAAAAATAAAGAAAAAAAATAATAAACTAAAAATGTAAAAAAATTATAAATAATTAAAAATGTCAATAATAATGTAAAAAAATAAAAGACGATAAAGTAAAAAATAATAAAATTAAATGAAAATAAAAAATGTTAGAAAGTATAAATAAATTAGTGGCATTATTTTGTAATGGCACCCCAGGTGCGCCAGGCAGATCGTGCGGTTTCCCCGCTGTATTCGCGCAAAATCGCGGTCGCGTGTCGCGAAAAAAGGTACATGTACCTTTTTTCACCAATTGCCACGCGGATGTAGCCCCATTGAAATCAATGGGGCTGCACAGCAATTGCTGTATGCAACCACACACGATCGTGCAGTCCCGAGACGCGCATCCCGGGACGCGCGTCCCGGGATCGCCCAAGTCTGTACCAGCCCTAAAGGGTAAATTCACTTTCCAAAGTAATTTGGGAAAATGGAATTACCCGCAAAAAACTGGCCCCCTCTCACTACCTCCTATACTTGCCTTTCGGTGAACAGTCCTTCCCATTCGCCAGTACACGTGTACTATCTGTACCTGTGCCATGTATTCTGAATTTCGCTCGCAAATTGCAAGCACTCGTTGGGCAGCACAGTCACCTGACAGTGCTGACCAATGAGAAGCGCTTCTTAGCACTGCTAAATACGGTTTTGGTTCAAATAATTTTTTTGTATCAGGACAAGAAGATCGGGCCCCCGCTTTAGTCATTGGACAAGTAGTTTTTTTAAATTTTTTTTGATTTCCACAACCCTGTAACTCTACTGTCTCCCTTTATATTGTAAAGCAATTACCCTTCCTTACCCTTTAAAGGAGAACTATGGGGTTAGGGCTTTTCCCCATAGTTCTCCTTAGTGTAACGGGAGGACACAAATTAGCGTCCTCCCATCACCCTAAGCTCAGTATACCGCGAGCTACAGCCCGCGGTATACTGAGACGCCGCAGCTGAAGCGGATCCTGACAATTCTGTCTGGATGCGCCCAGCTGCGTGAGTGACAGCTGGCTCTGCCTATCTAGAGGCAGAGCCAGCTGTATCCGCCCCCTCCGCCGTCCGTTCCGCCAGTCAGCGCTGGAGGATCGGGGAGGGGGAATCCAGCCCCTCCCCTGTCACGGCAGAGAGCTGTGACAGGATCGAGAGGTGAACGAACGCCGGTATGTGTTCGCTCACTTCCCGATCTACTGAGCCGACCTGTGACAGTCTCATTGTCGCAGGTCGGCTAGAACTATGAGGTGAGTGAAAAACACTCACCTAATAGTTCTCCTTTTAAGGGTAATTGTACAAAATGATAGTTACATTTAACTGCAAAGAGAAAAGTAATCTTAGGGACTTGGCTATGCTGTTATGGCACTTGCTTTGGGATGTTAATACCCCCCAGAAAGTGTCCACAATATGTACAATGTTGTGGGCAGAAATTAGTAAAAATTGCTTTTAATAATGTTATTTGGGACTGCGTAGACGCCGTAGAGTGTACAAATGCAGGCAATCAGGGATACCTACTACACCCCAGACTTTGTTTTGGTGCAGTTGGTGATCCTGGTGCTGTGAAATTATAATGTTGTATTCACATTTGTAGTTCTTATTAAAAGTAATCAAAAAGCATTTAGTAATGTTTTAATTTGCCACACAATTGCCCCACTGTGAGTGTGTATGTTGTAAGGATTGTGAGAACATTAAATAGGCAGATTTTCTGATATCTGATCTCCTCCCCTACTCCAAAGACATGCCGGGAGGTTAACTGTCTCCTGTGCAAATTGGCCCTAGAATGTGTATGTATGCATGTGAAGCTGGCCATACACCTTACAATTATCTGCAGATTTTCTATGGTCAGATGGAAAAGGTGCAACAGATTCCTCCATCTACGCTAAACTGTGTGGATGGAGTAATCTGCACCTGGGCCAATCTGTTGCACTTTTTCCATCTGACCACAGAAAATCTGCAGATAATTGTAAGGTGTGTGGGCACCTTGAGATAGGGACCTTAAACTGTAAGCTCCTTGGGGACAGGGACCGATGTGAATGTACAATATGTGAAGTGCCGTGTAAATTGTGGGAGCTATATAAATACTTGTAATAAACACTGCATATAATACACATTACTGATATTATGGACTTACATTTTCACAGGGAGTTGGCTGAACTTCACAAGAGGCTAATACATTCTGAAGAAGAAACACAAAGGCTAACAGCAACCATTAAGGATAAGGACAGGGAGTTGGAACGGGTTCGACATCACAGCCGACTTTTGGCTCAGATATGTCAGAGGCGACCACTCTTGGAAGCTTTGGTTTCTCTCATGGCTGAGGCAGAAGGAATGCAATGTTTGCCTGCCCTGGAAGTAGAGAGAAGCAATGGTCTCGTAAATGCTGTAGACTACCTTCAAAGTGAGGAAGATCTTGAAGATTCTGACACAGACAGAACACTTTTTGGAACGACTGTCTGAGGCGCACACAGCTTACTTTTATATGCATTGCATATCCTGTATTTTTAAATGCAACTCCAGCCAAAACATTTTTCAAACCTTGATAACGTGGAGAAGGTTGAGAACCTCAGGTTTTATTATTACTCTTTTCCTGTTGGGAGTATTCATCCTTTTTTTTTGGTGCTGTGTCCCTATTCTAGACATTTCCCTTCACTTCCTGTATCGTTGATGATGTCAGTGAGACAGGATGTGAGGGAAAACTCCCAACATGCAGGTGCACAGACAGCAACTAAAGGGAAAATTAATGGTTTTCGTTTAAACAAGCAGGCTTTAGTATATTTAAAAAAAATTGATATCTGGAGTTTTTCCAGAGACCAAGATAATCATATATAATCCATAGTACGCATAACCTTAGATTTCACTCTTGAATTTTTATTATTAGCAATGTTTACAGAAACAGCTTTACAGATTATTGAAGTGCAAGTTCACCTTTTACTGTCATTACTTCTCATCTTTTCACCATTTTCACCAGAATGTATTGGCCTAAGCACCTTCTGATCTTACTGGTGGTCATGAGGGATCTGCACACACACATGGACCCCTATGTATACAGACAAACCGGCTGCTATAATCACATCTATATTAGAAATTAGGCATGTATCTAAATGCATTTTCTTTCAGCACTTTGCACACATCTTTTTTTTTTTTCTTTTCATTGTTGAGGTGTAAAGGTGAATTTGCACTTTCAACTGAAACTCAACCATCTTCCCCTGGCCAGTTATTTACATTTTAGCAAATGTCATTGCTGATTTCTTCTTTCCATAATTAATAATTAGTCCCAGTATTCTAATAAGAGAAACCTTGCATTCCCAGTGCAAGCAAAAGCTATAAGGCCGAATTATAACCAAAGATGATACGCTCATTGCAATAAATGTAATGGTAGTGCTGACTCTGTACCTGCAAGCTTTGTGAATACTTCTGGGAAAGACAGTGAGCCAATCCCAGAAGCAGGAGATGAAAACTGTACACATGGGCATTCCAGTGAAGCCACATTTACATTTTTTTGGGCAGTTTTAGAAAGACATATTTGCTGCAGACTGATATTTAACGTGTAAAGATATTAAAGTTTATCTATAGCCAGAACACAATCTCTATTTGTTTTGATGGCCACTGTGACAGTGCTGATGGCAAATCCAACATTTTGCAGTCTTCATCAGAACAGGAGAAGAGTGGAAATCCTACCATAAGGTCACCTTTTTTTGGTGACGGCTGTATGAGAGGAGATTTCCCCCACTTCCAGTTTTTTCTCCCAAGACAGGAAGTGCGGGGAGATAAGACACGGGCAGCAAACAAAAAAAAAAGAGAAACCTTGACAGGTGTATTACCCATTCCTTACACTATCCAAAACTCAAAAAAATATTTATGGCTGGAGTTACACTTAAAAAATGTACCTGTTCCAAACATATAATTTTACCATTTATAAAATGTTACATGCTTAAATGACAGCTGCTAAAGAATTCTATAAAAGAAACAACCAAGGCTCCGATCACAAAGCTTTACGCAAGGATAACGATCTATATTTTTAGTCTTATGACTGTGATTTTCATATCTCATTGGACCTAGCAAAACATACCCTTCACTTACTTGAAATTAAGGGTTCTTATGCTGGTGTTTTTTGCTTTGGTAATTGAGTCTAATATCCATAATATATGCAGAAATCTTGGCTCATATGCTAGTACTGTCAAGGGCACTTCAGAAACTAACCTTTTACAAGCTCGTGGGCTGGTAGACCCGACAATGAAAACGTCTGCCCCCTCTCAATTCCCCAGTCTTTTGCTTAGCAGTACTAGGCCCTTCCACACCTTGAAGGCCCAATGGGGGCTGCAATAAATCCAGGAAATAGGGGCTTTAATGAGTATTACTTGTTGGAAGCTAAGTTTGCCACTAACCTGCTTACCTCTTTTACTGTGGACCTAGAATAGGCAACTATAAAACAAAATCCCAGTCTACATTTAAATTAAGGCAGAAAAAAAGATTTCTCTTCCTTCACAGCTGCCCCTCCACAGTAGTTCAGTAACACAGTATGCTGACTAATGCATTTACTCTCATAGTAGCCACTTGTATATGAGTGGATTCTGTGCGCTGGGGTTGTGGTTCCTTTTAACTGCAGGATAAACGCAACCTACCCAAGTTATGCACATAGTGTTCAGTATATTCTACTGGTTGGACAACATTTGTAATTATAATGAGTGGGACACTACTCTGGCATTATGCATTAACTGTCAACCATCATGTACACTGACAAAATGTGATCTCTGTAGGGTCAGAAAACTGTACAACTAGTGCTCTCTGAGCTGCTTGTTCTATCAGTGAACAAGATGCAACACATTTTGAAACTGGTTGTCTATAAAAATACCTATACCCCAGTATAAAAAAATGTTTGAGTATCGTCTTTTTTTTCGGTAGCTGCAACTGTTCGGGCACGGGAAGCCCCTCTCTGTCTACAGTTAATTTGGGCCTGACAGCATCACAAACATTCTGTTTTTCCAAAGTGAATGTAATATTTATTTGCTGGTCCTGGCCATGTATCATGATCTTAAGATCCATCTATCATTCATTTTTGTGTTCTTTGCCATAACTGCTGCTATGTACATCTATGTATGTGAAGACGGCATGAACTCTTTAACCAGTTGACATCCGCGGTGTTAAACCCCCTTCCCATCCAGGCCATTTTTCAGTATTCAGCGCTGCGGTACTTTAACTGACATTTATTCAAGTTAGTAGGTCAGGTACTATTTTTGGACCAAGTTCATATTATAAATTGAATTACTTGCACTTTATGTATTAACAATGTTTCACCACAAAGCATGCTCCAGTTATTAAAAACACAAATTTACATTCTTTTCAATAAGTTTCTACATGTATTCATATGTAATTCTTTATTATATCTGTTGCTTTTGCAGATAAGAGGTAAGGCTCAGAGTAGTTTATTCTGGGATGGTTCCTGAGTTGCAGATAACAATATCAGTGTACCCCTTGTTTGAAGGCCTTTTATTAATTAGTTAATAGCTTAACGTGATAAACTTGTATGTTGTTTGGAAAGAACATGGCATAAGCCAGAACTACCCTTTAACGCAACCCGTCATTAGAATGAAAATTAACCACTTCAAGACCGCGGTGTTTCACCCCCTTCCTGGCCAGGCCATTTTTCAGTGTTCAGCGCTGCGGTACTTTGGCTGACGTTTATTCCGTCATGCAGCGCTGTACTGAAATGAATTTTATACCATTTTTTGGGGACAGATAGAGCTTTCTTTTGGTGGTATATCACAAACGACCATGGACGGAAGGTGGTTAAAGACAAAGTTCTTCCTGCAAAGAAGAGAGTTCCTAGTTGCCTCTCTTGGCACTTGCTGGTTCTCCAACCGTGCCCTACATCACTACCGGCCAAAGGCGGATTGAACCACTAAGCACAGTGGGGGGGGGGGGGGGTGAA